ATTCCAAAGTCAAGTGGGGACGTCATAGGCACCCCCCTGCTCTCCTCCGTGTGCCCATCCTTCCTCCGCCCCCTCGGGTCTCCCCCCAGGGCCTCGGCTCTCTCCTCTCAGCTCCCCTGGGCTTTCCCTGGCCCTCTCTCATGCGACTTCTCACTTTCTCTCTTGAAATATCATTATTTGTGTCCGTGTCCTGATGGCCCTCCTATTGGACCTAAGTTCCTGGAGGCCAGGACAGCATCTTTCTCTCTCTCCCTTTTTCTCTTTCTTCCTTCTTTTTCTCTCTCTCTCTCTCTTTTCTTTTGTCTCTAGCATAAAGGCTCACCATTTTATTTAATGCATGAATCAAAGAAGGCCCTTTCACGACTAAATGTCTGTTTAGAAACTAAGAGTGGCCCTGCCTTGGAGGGTACTTATTTAGCTGAGCATTGCAGTCTAAAGCAGCAGTCCAGACCAGGGGGAATCTGTCTGCTTCCACGACCCCCTCCTCCTGGGACATGTGGCTCTGTCTGGAGACATGCTTGATTGTCACACTGGGTAGAGGTGCTACCCGCCTCTCGTGGGTAGAGACAGGGATGCTCATAAACAGCCGGCAGTGCACAGGACAGCCCCCACATCAAGCAGTTATCTGACCCCAAATGTTAATAGTGCCGAAGTTGAGAAACCTGGTCTAAAGCAAGATCCTGCAGGTGAGAAGCGGGGACCTCAAAGTCAGAGTACCCCAACTCCAGAGTCCTGCAGTCAGCCTTGAGTGTGTCTTTAGGGCGCTGGCAGCGGCGTCCTGGCCCCTCTGCTGGGCCCCCTCTGCCTGGCCGACTCTCTTTGTCTGCCTCTTCTTATTTCTCTGTCCTTCGTGAGCGACAAAAACCCATTAAGTTAGTGTGTCTTATCGTGATAGCTCCATCAAGCGTGGTTCCCGAGTCTCCCACCCCCGGTGGGCTTGTGTGCGGTGGTTTTCAAGAAAGCCCATTTCCTCTAGCCACAGAGAAACGTGAGATGACATTTTCTAAAAGCGTCGCTTTGTAAAAACGCCAAGCCTAATCTCAAGGCACAAAGAACATTGTAGAAATCAGAATTGACACGAGGAGTGTTGGCCAGCAGAGGTTGGTTTTAAACGGCAGGCTCTGTGGGCTTGTGTTGTTTTATTGTGGTTGTTTCCAGTCAATGTAGCTCATTGAAGAAAAGGACTTCTAGAAAGTTTCTCTGGGTAATAATGACCTCTTATGGGTTTGAAGATTGCAAATATTATGTTGGAATTAGAAACTGTCTGTTCTTCCCGTAGTCCACTGGTGACTGTGTTGTTTATTTTCATAACATCTTTGGCTGGTAGAGGGGAGGATGTTAAGGGAAGGCAGGTCAATTGATTTTTCCACTTTTCCATTGAAGAAAACAGTATCTGCAAGAGAATCCGACTATAAGTCTGTCTTAAAGCTCTCCTGTTCTCTTCAAATGCATTTAAAAGGCTCAGAAGAAGTAAACAAAAGTTTGGCTTCTTCAAGAAGAAGAAACAGTCAAAAGCTGTCGTCAAGTGGAAACTAGAGTAACCTGCAGAGCACTGGGCGAGCTAATTCCTTGGATATATAAAGTAGGTACTAATTCATGGACAGGAGGGAAGGTGAATCTGGTTGCTAGGCAACAGTTCCCATGGGGAGGAGAGGATCAGTGGGTTGGCTGTAGACTATATAAAAGATGGGCCAGGACAGAAGGAAGGAGGAAGCTTCTGTTTCCGAGCTGGAGAAGGAAAGATACACAAATAAAGACCCAAAGAGTGGTGGCAGGGATGCACAGAAACCTAATTAGCAGGACTGCTCTTTGCAGGACAGAAGCCAGTAATTAGTGACGTGTGAAGAAATCGTCCTGGCTTTTAAATAGTTCTGGAGATGGGTTGAGGGGCAGCTTTTTGAAATCTGAAAGCACTAAAAAAGAAAGCAATTGAAGGTTTTCCTGAGAGTTGGAAGGAAGCCAAAGGTAAGCAGAGATTGAAGGCTGTTGAGCTTAATGTCAAAATGGTGTCTTCACATCTCTGTGAAGCTGTGTTGCTGAAGGCAAAGCTACATGAACTCTCTGTGCTTCAAATTTCTCATCCACAAATGGGCAAAATAGTAGTACCTGCCTCAGAAGGTTGTTGTGAGAATTAGAGTTAATACGAACAGTGTTGGCACATAGTAAGTGCAATAGGAGTGTTATTTACTACTGTTTTGTTTTCCTCTCTTCTTCCAGATCAGAAACAGATCTGAGCTCTTTATGCATTTTAATATCATGTGTTCTCTTATGTCTGAAGTTTAGTTTGTAAAATCATAACAGTAACTTGATTTTGTATCTAGTTCATATTGTGTATCAGTCAGGGTGTGTAGATTATGCTTGGTAACAAACAGTCTTTCATGGTTTAACACTAACACAAGTCTATATCTTGTTCATGTCCAATGAGGGTTTGTATTAGTCTGCTCAGGCTGCCACAAAAAAATACCACAGACTGGCTGGCTTAAACAACAGACATTTATTTTCTCACAGTTCTGCAGGCTGGAAGTCCAAGATCAAGGTGCCAGCAGGGTTGGTGTCTGATGAGAGCTCTCTTCCTGGCTTGCAGATGGCCACCTTCTCACTGTGTCCTCACATGGCCTTTCCTCTGTGCACGTGCAGACAAGGAAAGATCTCTGGTGTCTCTTCCTCTTCTTATAAGGACACAAGTCCTGTCAGATCAGGGTCCCACCCTTATGACCCCATTTAACCTTAATTACCTCCCTAAAGAACCTGTCTTCAAATATAGTCACATTGGAGGCTAGGGCTTCAAAGTACGGATTTGGGGGGCAGTGGGGGACACAGTTCAGGCCGTAACAGGGTTGGTGGTGGAGGTGGGGACTCTGTTCGTAGTATCCATTTGGAGACCCCGGCTGTCAGGGGTTGCATCTCCACACATGCCTGTCCCTCCCACCTCAGCTCATCCTAAGTTCCCCTTTGCTCACACTCCCTTCCTGGCTACACCGTGTTCCCCGAATGCTGAGCTCTCGGTCAGGTTTCTGTCTTCTCTGCCTGGACTGCTCTTCTATGGCTGCTTCCATCTCAGCCTTTAGATCTGAGCTAAAACGACACCCCCTGACCACGCCAGACACCCTGTGTCGTTTTCACCCTGATGTTTCATCTTAAACATTTTACGTACTTCTCGATCCACTCATTTATTGTCTAAAACATAAGCTGCATTGGTGCAAGGCCTTGTTTTGTTCACGCTGTATCCCAGGGCCTCATGGACAGTAGATGCTCCATAAACACCTCTCGACTATGCAAATGAGGGTCTGTCTCTCCCACTGGAATTTACCCTCTCTGAGGGTGGGTGCTTTTGCTTTGCTTATCACCAGTCCCTTGGCCCAGGCTAAGTACTCCATAAATGTGTGTTGAATGAATAAATGAGTGTCTGGAGAGCCGTCCTCAGGTTGCTCAGTTTCTCATGCCTCAGGCAAGTCTTCCTGTGGGCTTATTACGTAAACGGAGGGTGTAGAATTCACCGCCTGCAGTTCTCGTAGCCGCCCCCCTCCTTCACTTGATGGCAGATGGGGCAGCCCAGAGGAACAGCTTTCTGATAAGGGAGCAGTCGTCAGGTCTCTAAAATGTTATAAGCCCATTACACTAGGAACGTGTCCCTCACCACCAGCCCGGGTGACTGACAGCTTCTGTCACTGCCACCACTCTGGTTGGTGGCAGCCACAGGAAGACAGTGTCAGCTTGCTGTGCCCCTGGCTCCTCTCTTCCTGGCTTTCCTCCCAGCCTCACAGCCCCTTTCTCTTCCTTTTGGAGGCGCAGTGGCTACAGGCCAGGTCTCTGGAGCCAGATTGCTGCAGTTGGAGTCCAGGCTCAGCCATTTACTAGCTATGCAGCTTTGGGCAAGCTACTTTACCTCTTTGAGCGTGTTTCCTCATCTGTAAAATGGGGATGATATGAGGACTTACCTCATGGAGTTGTTATGAGGATTAAATGAATATTATGTGTGAAGTGCTCGGAACAGTGCCTGGCCCGTGGTAAGTTCTGGATAGCATTTATTGTTGTTATAAAGCACTTTCTCAGCATGTACTCAGATGGGATATTTCTCTAGACAAGAGGGTTTGAAACTTCTTTTTAAATTAGCCAAACACTCTTCCAGTGAAATCTTGAAGAGAACTCCAATATATAAAGCAGAGTTTACAAGGGCACCTCTGATCATAGCGGGGATGAGTGTTCCAGGAGCTCTCAACCCTCAGACAACCAGAAGATAATGCTTCTCAAGTGTGCGTCCTGGCACAGCAGCATCAGAATCACCTGGTTATTAAAAATGCTTTTTCAAAATGCAGAGTTTGGGGTCCCCCCCAACCTGCTGAATCAGAGTCTCCAGGGGTGGTTCCTGGGAATCTGCATTTTAATACCGTCTTCGGGTGATTCTGAAGCCCATGGGAGCTTCACACGAGCTTCAGTAAGTACTGTTTGAAGGCCAGCTTCAGACACAGCCTTATTTTCCCCACTCCTGTGGAGCAAAGACACTTCTACGGTAGTGGAGTTTCTACAAGGCTGTGCTGGCCCCCTGGCAATGAGGAGGAGGACGGCATCCAGCTTAGGAAGGGGCGGGACCAACTGGAGGGCACTTCCGTTGGTTGGCACTGCCCCCAACCCACTGCATCTGTCCCCCCTCCATCCCCCCCCCCCAAGGCTGGGTACTACCCAGGCCTGGATTAAGTCTGCCCAGGTGCCAAACCCAAAAAAGATTATGCTCCTCTTCCGTCACCACCCTGAGCTATTCAAAATCAGAGAGTACCGCGCCTTAAAGTGTGTCAAGGGAGAGCAACACATTCTGATTTCTCCCGTGGTGATGAATCTGAGGCTTTTTAAATAGCTTAAATTCCATTCAAATCAACTTTTTTCCCCTTTTCTTTCTAGGAGCTGTTCCTGCTTTGCTCTGTGTAAGCACTTGCCTTGCCAACTTTTAGGCAATCCTGTGCTGCCACCTAACCCTCCCTCTCGCTCTGCCTGCCTTTTCACAGGCCTTGACGAAATCCAGTGCTCCCTGCCCATGGAGAACAGGAGGGTGTTCCTGCACGAGCTGTCGGAGGCCAGCTTCAGCGAGTGCAGGTTCAGCCTCTCGCTCACAGACCTCTTCATCATCATCTTCTCCGGCGTGGCCGTGTCCATCGCTGCCATCATCTCCAGCTTCTTTCTGGCCACCGTGGTGCAGTGCTTCCAGAGGTGCACCCCCAACAAAGACCCCGAGGACGAAGACGAGGATGAGGATGACTGAGCCACCCCCCCCACCGTTCCTCGCTTTCCAGAACCCAAGCCATGGGCTCCCCTCCAAGAAGAGAGGGACACGCTGAAAGGGGAAAAGAACCGACTGCCATCAGTGCCCAGAGCACAGAGGAGTACCTGCTCCGTCCCTTGCCCCCTGGGCGAGCCCGGCGGGACCTCTGATCTCAGAGTTTAGCATCCAGGAGTGGAGGAGCCCAGGAAGGCTTCCTGGAGGAGAGCCTGACTCTCAGTGTGAGGTGTGTGTGGGGAGAAGATGGCGAAGTCAGGCTTCATGGCTGATGGCTGAAAACCAACCTAGGGGACCTGAAGACGTGCAGCTCTCGCCTGCCATCCCTCTCTCGGACCTGGACCGGGAGACCTTGCAGCGTCTCCTTCCCCCAAGAAGCGGCAGCTCAGACAGTGGGGATTGGAGCTCAGGTCCCTCTCACTGGAAGCAGAACTTCTGCTCCTCTGGAATAGGCTTCAGCAACCTTGGGATGTTATGCAAAGAACAAACACAGGTCTGGCTAAAATGGCACCGAGGAAAAAGCTAAGAAATGGCCAAAGGGTGTTTGTTGTTGTTATATTTTGGCGAGAGAGTTGGGAAAACTTTTGTTGACAGAACTCAGACCCTGATCTTTATCCTAATGGTAGCAAATCATAGAGGAAGGACAGTCATTTCGTACAATCGTGGTGCCCTCTACTCAGAGTGACCCTTCCCTCTGAGGTACAACCAAGTTGTTTCCCCTCCCACCCCTCTCCCACCCCCCAAGTCCCTCCTCAGTCATTCTCTGTGCTGGCACCGTTCCAGACCTGTCATCTCCAGAACTTGCAGGAAACTTTCCTGGAGGCCAGGATTCCAAATAGCAGGTTGCGTAGGACCAACAAAATGTTAAAAAAAGTAAACAAACGAACTAGGACTTGGCCTCTGAAAAGCCTCCACCGGCGGCCTCAGGGCATATGTGACATTTCTTTGGAGCATAGGCTGTGACAGGCAATGTTTTCCAGGATGTGGAGTGCGGCACTTTGTTCAGAGACAATATGAGACAGACAATGTCACGCGCCCAGCAGGTTAATGCAAGATGACAGGCATTAGCAGCTTTGGACCTGGCTGGGGATGGACACTTAGGCGAGAGGCCCGGGAGACGCTCCTGGGATGTTTCTGGGAATCAACTCTCCATTGTTGCTCATAATATATTCCTTACGTTTCCTTCCTCCACTGCTGCCCTCCGTCTTTGCTTCCACAGAGGATCACTGAGTGCTTGCTGAGTGCCAGGCACGGGTCTAGGCACTGTGGATGAGCACTGAATAAGACAGACAGGGCCCCTGCTCGCTTGGGCCTCATGTTCTTATGGGTGGAACATAAAACAAACAAGTAAACAAAACTGTGATTGCAGGTAGCTATAAGCACCATGAAGGAAATAAATGTGGTCCTGTGACAGAGTAACTGGTCAGAGCCACTCAAGAGTGGGTAGTTGGGTGTATTAGTCAGGGTTCTCCAGAGAAACAGAACCAATAGGAGATACGTATATTCTGTCCGTCTGTCTGTCTACCTACCTACCTACCTATCTATCATCCATCTATCTATCTATCTATCTATCTATCTATCTATCTATCATCTATCTAGCTATCATCTATCTATCTATCTACTCTATCTATCTATCATCTATCCATCTATCTATCTATCCATCGTCATCTATCTATCTATCAGCTATCTATCTATCTATCCATCTATCTATCTATCTATCTATCCATCGTCATCTATCTATCTAGCTATCTATCTATCATCTATGTATCTATCGAGAGATTATAAGGAATTGGCTCACATGATCACGGAAGCTGAGAAGTCCCATGATCTGCAGTTGGCCAGCTGGATACCCAAGGAAAGCAGGTGGTGTAGTTTCACTCCGAGTCCAAAGGCCTGAGAACCAGGAGAGCTGGTGGGCAAGTTCCAGTTCGAGGGCAGGAGAAGACCCAGATCCAGTGGTCAGGCAGAGAGAAAGTGAATTCCCCCTTCCTCCACCTTTTTGTTCTGTTCAGGCCTTCAACAGATTGGATGATGCCCACCCTCATTGGAGGGCCATCTGCTCTACTCCGTCTACAGATTCTAATGCTAATCTCATCCAGAACCTCCTTCACAGACATACCTAGAAATAATGTTTATCCAAATATCTGGGCACCCCGTGACCCAGTCAAGTTGACTCATAAAATTAGCCGTCACGTCGAGGAAGGGCTCTGATTGGGTGGCTTTGAGCTGCATCCCGCCTCCTCCCACCTCCTTGCCTCTCTCCCTCCCTCCCTCCTTTCCTCCTCTTCCACTCTTTCTCTCCCCACGCTTTGCCCTTGAGGAGACTCTTGGTCGCCCCCTCTCACCCCCAGCATTGTGGGCTCCAGTGGAGAAGACCCCTGGCTCAGAGGGGCTGTCCTCACAGTCACTGGGCATGTGGAGGAGCGGGCAGCGTCTTCCCAGACTCCATGGCAACCTCAGCCCCTGAGGGAGCCACCTCTGTGGGCTTCACCTTCAGTGCAGGTAACACTTCCCTTGAGGAAACAATACAGGCAAACTGAAATTGGCATCATGAGGTGCTAGATGCTGCTCGAATTCCTGTCCATCCATCATTCCAGCCATCATTTGCACCTTATTTGAATGAAGGTTCCTGGAGAAGGTTTTCAATTGGGAGAGAGAACTCCGCTGACATTGGGCCACGGGAGGGAAGATAGAAAAGATCACGGAGCGGAGTCCAGGGCTCAGAGGCTGGGAGTTTAAGACACAAAACAATCTAAGGCCAGCCCTTCCCCAGCCTGGACACAGACTCAGCTGAGACTTGAGCAGGGTAGGAAATGCTGTCTGTTTCACTGTCTCCAATCCCCACTCCCAGGACTGTCCTACCAGGGACACAGTTAAAGGCCTGATCCAACTGGACCCCCGCCGTAGTCACAGTGTGTTTCTCCTAGACTCTGAGGGAGATGGTGCCCCAAGCTGTGGAAATGGCACAGCTATTTAGATCAAATGGCCCTTGATCTAATAGGTTCTGGTGGATGCATTCCCTCTTAATGAGTTTATTTTATTCCTTCCCTCTGTCTCTAGAGGTTCATTCTGGTCAGCGGGCTCTGCTGTTTGCTTAGAAGGCACAAGCCCTGCTCAGCCTCGGGGCCAGTGGTCATTTACTGAATGAATGAGTGAGCAGGGGAGGGGCAGCCCGGGGCTGGCTGGGCGCCAGTCAACCATCATTTCTGCCGGCTGCACCCCAGAGTTTTAGAACGAGCACGATTCTGGGGAAGCAGAAGAGCCTTAATGTAGTGCCAGTTGAAAGAGTCACTGCCTGGATGTAAAGTCCCTGTGAAACACTGGGGACATTGGGGACACGAGGGACATCTGCAGTCAAGCCTAAGAAAACATACTGACCAGGAGCCACAGCTCAGCTGGGGAGATACCTTTCGAGAAGTGGCACTGCGCAAACCGTGGGTGATGATTTCATCCTCCCTGCCTTGCCGTGGGGTCTCCAGTTACTATTAACAACGAGGACAGTGCCACATGCCAACTGAGGGCCTCCTCTGTGCCAGAAATGCCCATCTCCCAGAGCTCCACAGGTGTCATTTGTCACCTGCCCAGAGTCACTCTCATCACACCATCCCCTGTTATTTTCTGCACAGCATGTGCGGTGTGAAATCATCCCACTCATTTGCTATCATCCATCTCTCTGGACTAGCACATGATTTCCCCAAGGGCAGGAATCCGGGCCGTTTGTGTCCCCAGCATTTGGAACAGTGCCTGGCACATAGTAGTTGCACAATCGATATGCACATTGGTTGAAAGAGCAAATAAATGAATTCCAGGCACCATACTAGAAACTCTACAAACCCAAGCTCTATTGAAGCCTCCTCACAATTCCAGGCAAGAGCTGCTATTATCCCAGTTTTATAGATGAGGAAACCAAGGCTCAGAGAGGTGAGTAGATGACAGGACCCGGCAGAGCCGGGGAAGATTCGTGGCTGTTGGACCCCTGTGCTCTGGGTTATGGTAATAGCTCGTGTGTATTGAGGGCACGGTCTGTGCTAGACGCCGAACCACGCCCATTATGCAACTCACAAACCCTGGAAGGCAGCGTATTCGTCAGGGTTCTCCAGAGAAATATGTATATGTACTGTAGAAAGAGATTTATTCTAAGGAATTGGCTCATGTGACTGTGGAGGCTCACAAGTCGAAAATCTGCAGAGTGGGCTGGCAGGCTGGAGACCCAGGGAAGAACCGATGGTGCAGTTCAAATGTGGAGGAGTCTGCTGCACAATTCCCTCTTGCTTGGGGGAGGTCAGTCTTTTGTTCCTTTAAGGCCTTCAACTGATTAGATGAAGCCCACCCACATTATGGAGGGCAATCTGCTTTTCTCAAAGTCCACTGATTTAAATGTTGATCTCATCTAAAACCTTCCTAGTAGAAACACCCAGAATAATGTTTGGCCATACACCTGGGCACCACGGCCCAGCCAACTTGACACATAAAATAAACTATCACAGGCAGGTACCATTATCATTTCCCCTTTATGGATCCGTCACATCCACGTGGCCGATGAGAGAATTGGTTTGGTCCTGGGAGGACACAGCTGGTAAGCGATGGAGTGGGATTTGGCCACAGGTGCTCTGACCACTGTACATCCTCTCTCCACCCAACTGCATTCCCTTCTCAGGCCAGCAGGATCAGGCCTGGCAGGGACAGCATGGAGAGGTACATTTCTTGGGGCTGTGGGCTGGGCTCCAGGAAAAGCAGCCTGCACTTGCTGGCTGCACCCAGGATGAGTTTATCTTGAGCCTCAAATCCAGCATCTCGGACCCCTTCGGAAGAGTCAAAACCACCAAGATGTCTCGTCTCACTGTCTTGCTCTCCTTAAGAGCTGATGCCCAGAGGATTCCAGCAGGATCACAAATGCATTCATCTTATTGTGATGACAGCAGGGACCACCAGTACAGCCCTCAGACCTGGGCAAGGGGCCCGTATCTTGGGTCCAGCACTTTAGAGGGCCTTGTTCCAGCCCTCCTCCAGCTGTGCTCTTCCCCCTGGGGTGAAGAATCTGTGGGGCCAAGGGCACACACCCACCCAGAACCAGTGCCCCCTTCTAGAACATTCTCTGGGTACACAGGACCACAGAATTCCCTCACAAAAGACT